TATAAAACCGTATTTTTACATGAAAATCCTCAACTGCCGTATACTAACAGCTTTTGTCAAGTTCCTGCAAAATTGACAAAGATTAACTAAAATTTCTTAAATAACCAAACAGACTGACAAGTAGCACAGCATTTGCAATCTCTGATGTGTTTTAAAGCGAAAGTAGATCGCTGTGTACTTGGCGAAAGGAATAACGGAAAAAAATTACAAAAAGATTTAGAGAAGAATGTTAGCGTTTTTTTTTTTAGTATAATCAATACTTAATAATTTAAATTTGTATTTTAAATTACTAAAGTTTGTTTTCTTTTCATATGTTGATAACGTCTGCCGACTGAAAATAAATATCGATAGGCTGGAAAACTTTCAAACAAAATTCGTGATAACCATCAAATTGCACTTGATAAATAACTATTATGTTTTCATCTCTAAAGAATCGTCATATTGCGCTAAAGATTTTGTGTTAATACTTTAAGTACAAAATAGACTTTTGCTCTAATATTTTTGTAAGAATTTTACTCAATTTCAGAAAATGAAGTGTTATTCTTTTGCTCGCTTCAGGAATTTAATCTATGATTATGCATATTTTAACTCACTTGAGAAGCCAAATTATTTTCTAAGAAAAAGACAATAGTTTAATTTAATAATTTAAGTATTGAACACAACTTAAATTGAAAGGTTTTAATAAGAAGTGAACAAAAAATAGTATATTAAAGCTACTCAGTTTAAAATACTAAAAACGTTAACAATACAATAAAACATGGCGTCTTTTATAAACGAATATATTTAACAATAAAGCATGCCGTCTTTTATACATGAATATATTTAATATTAAAGCATACCGTCTTTTATAAATGAATATAGTTAACAATAAAGCATGCTGTTTTTTTATAAATTAATATATCAGAAAATGAAATTATTAAATTTTTAAAAATATCTAAATTACAGTGGTTTCTATCAGTCAAATTAAAACATCAATATAATTTATGCATTTATTTCTGAATTTAATTTAAATTATTTCGAGGAAATTCACTTCGAAAGAAATAATGCAATAATCTGACGAGACATTTATTTTAACAAATAGTAAATTTATCCAGTTATAAATACAGAAATAGTAATATTGGTAAATGTGTGCATGCAATATGTATTTAAAAGAATCCGTATCTTACGAAATATAAATTAAAAATATTACTCAAAGTACCATGCTCAGAAATGATAAAAACATTCCTGATTTTATCATTAACATTTATGACTTAACTATAATGAAATCCATAAATACACTCACTACAGTTATCAGCATAAGTACAGTCACTGTATTTAATAAGTACAATCACATCAATTATTTACAAAAAATATTTCTTTTAATTTAAATTGCTTCTAAATTTTATTACTCTAAGTTTAAAAAAATACAGATTTCATTTAAGAAAAGAAAACATCTGCACATTAAGAAATTAACAGAAATATTTTCAATGAAAAATTATTTTTTAATATAAAATACTTAATTAAAACCTAATTAATTTTTATAATTCTTTTGATTAGTAAATAACACGCTAAATATATCAAAATACACATATTATAGCTTTATAAACATTTTCCATTAATAGTTAAAACTGAAGTGCCAAGGAGTTATTGCCAATCCACGCATTATCAAAGACACTTCATTACTTTTCAGATTGTAATAGCAAATCGTTTATTAGGAAGCAAAGCTTGTCATTTAAAAAATAACAGATATTTGTAAGCAAAATTTTCATGCATTTCAGTAACATCAAAATTACTGGCAAAATATCTTATTTGAAAAGCGTTTTTCCATTCTGCATTATTATTTGCAAACAGACTGTTGACAATTTCTGAAAGTTAATTACAGCAGAATCTGCCTAACTCTAAATCTTATTTCTCGCAACTATTTCACTTCCGTTCATTTTTAATCTCTGCATTTTGCAGTGTACTTTCTATACTCATCTCGAACAAGTCTCTACTTAATCTTTGTTTCATTAATTACAAGCAACGATTCAGTTAAAAATTCTGAGACGTGACCCCCAATCTTCAGCAGCAAAATCTCTGCAGCTTAGAAGAATCCCTTGCAGAGCTCTGTGGGAAATAAAACAACTACAATTTGTGATTTTTTATTTGAAAGGTAAACGGATCATAGTTCCCGTTCACGTTTTTAGTGAGACTGGGAACTCAAGACAGAGAATGCTAGAGGAGAAGTGAATGGTTAAGTAATTGGCTAGTTTTATCCTCCTTTTTCGCTTACCAAATTCAAAAGAGCCGAAAAAGTTAACAGAATTCATAACTGCAGTTTAAAAGACTCAAAGTGGAGGGTGTACAGAATGAAGTGTAAAGAAAAAAAAAAAACCTAAAATTTTTGTATGAAAATTCTGTGATAAAAGGAAAAAGTAAAGAACAGGTTTGATTTCCAATCAGTGCTCTATCGACGGTCATATGAAACAAAGATTCGGTAAACAGAAGCTTTAAAAACAAGAGAAAAAGGAAAAATTTCGAAAAATATTCTTTTTTGAATATAAATTGAGTATGGCAATGATTTGTGCAATGTCGCGTCAGCAAAACTTCTATAAGAGGAATGATGTTACTGAATAATGGGGAGTTTGCTGAAGAACTTGATTTTAGCAGTGAATTTAACGATAGTAATGGACGGATCGAGAATTTTAAAAGAAGATACATCATCATTTTCAGGAAACTTTACGACGAAAATTCTACCCCTTCTTTTCATATATAAATACAAAGTTTATTTTAATATTCCTGCTCTAAAAGGTGTTAACTCTAAAGTTTCTGCCTCGAAACATTACATATTAACTGCGCTCCCTGTATCAAAGTTTCAATAACAGCTTGAGTGGAATAGCAAATCAGAATTCGTTCGAAATCCTGCAGACGTCGTTAACGAAGACAAATACCTCCCATTGTCCATGCTTTGGATGCACTAAAGATAACAAATTATGCCTATACTCTATTTTTATTTAATTTACAGAGATAATGATCAAGAATATTCACTTAAAACGAGGGAGGATTTAAAAGAAATTTAAGATACAATTATTTTCTAAATGTTTAAAATAAAAGATTGTAAAAGAAAAAAAAAAAAAAAAAAAAAAAAACCTGAAAGCGTTCAAATTTTATATTACACCCAAAGGAATTTTTTTAACGCTTTATGTGTTACCTTTGCTTATTAAATATCATATTCTTCGCACCTAAAACATAAAATTCAGTTCAACAGCAATATCGCAAAATAAATTAAAAAGAGCATATATTTAGCCTTTCCGATACATAGTCTCGCGCGTTGAAGATAAAAATGTCTTTTTTTCCATACACTATTGCCATTGCTCGCTTTGAAATCGTTGAGTTTCTTAATCAAAAACTCATAAATGCTTTACAAAATATGAAATAGATAATAAAACAAATTCCAGATTTGGGTTTCCTGATGCCCATATTCGGGTAGAGATCTACGCTATTCAAAATTTGATGGATCTAGGTACTGTTATTTTATCACAATGTGAGAAACATACGTACATTCATATCACAATGTGAGAAACATACATACGCAGATTCTCCATTATTTAATTTTATTAAATATAATACAGTGCGATAATATTTCGTGGCAACAATTAAAAAAGTGATTCAGACTTTTAACGTTTTCGACGCAAAATACCAAAACGAAATTAATAGCTCTCCTGGGCTAATAGAACGATTTTGAAGTAGCACGTGAAATGCAAAGACTCAAGTAATTTCTAAGGGAGGGATGATCAAAAACAGATTTTCATTCATAGTTTAAGATAGAGTGCGATTCCTTAGCTACATGCAGAATTTATTAGAAAAATAAACACACTAAAGCAAAATGCAAGATTAAGCTAAGAAACAACCTTAGATTAATGTCGTTTTTATATAAAACACTGCTGATTTCAAGGACGAATGATTTGGACGATCTTTATTCAGGAGCAAAAAATGCGAGATGTTTTCTTACCTATAACAGGGAGACTTATGCTAGTCACCTTTGAAATAAGTAAAATTTTATATAAAATCAACGAAAATAACTTTTCCACTTGAGTAATCTTACGTGCAGAATACTGATAGTTGCGGCTGTAATAGTTAGCATGGTGAATATTTGAAGAAGGTATGATAAAATCAGGAGTGAAAAGAATCATGTAAAATTACAACAAAAGAAATGGAGAAAGTCATTGAAAGTAGTTGAGAACTTTCATTAAATCTCTCGATGATTATGTGATTTAACTTTGAAAAAATTGTCCAGTCAAGCATTAGAAAATATTAAGAGATAACTGATAGATCGAAAGGATATTTATATGCATATATAAGCAAATATGTTCATATATATGTTAATAAAATACATATAAAAATGTTCGGTACTTTTCCGTTTTACCGGCGCAAGCGATAAAGTCGCTAATAATGGTGCAGCCGATGCCAAACGGAATATTCTCGCTGGTAACCTTTTACGCCTCATTTTCAAAACAAGTCGCAGCTTTTCTTATCAGAATGATTGTTTCTTTCAATACTGACATATAATTACATAGAATTTTTATCAGATAGTTCAGTTTTATCTCCAAGGCCATTTTCGGTAATTAAGTCAATTAGGATGCAATCTCAGCGCTTACCCGAAGCCGAAAATATAGAAAAGGTAAAGTCAAGAGTTAAATTCATCAATTCTAATGAGAATGCATTAGCGAAGTAAAGTACTGCAGTTTTACAAAATTTCTGAGTAAGCTATTCGTACGAATTGAAATATTTCTTGCATTTAAACTTGTGTTCCAAATTAAGATTTAACTTGAAATTAATGTAGATAATTACTGAGAGCATTAGATTTTTGTAGAGAGTAGTTTACGTGAGAAGAGATCGCTTCGGGTCACGTGATATGAACCATGAAAGCGTAGTAAATTCTTAAATTAATGTCTTTTTACAAATTTATTGTCTTTATTTATCGGTTTTTTATAAAATTTTAAGCGATATTAAAATGTTTATGCCTTTAAAAAAAGAATTCTTAAAACTAACATTTTTTTAAATATTTTTTATGTGTATACTGTATGTTGACGCCAATAAAGTCTGCTTGGCGAGATTTGCGCCGGCGAAACGGAAAAGTACCAAATGTTCCTAATTTGCTGAGGAACCTTTTATTTCGAAATTTCTCTCCTCGATTTTTTTTCAAGTTCCCACGATGTTCGAGATAGACAGATTACACTGCATTTATTAATATTTATACTGATAGTATAATTAACAAAAGACGTTTATAAAGCCATGTAATATTTAACATTGGCGACAGACTAAATCCCTCACTTGTGCACTACCATTTGCATTAAAGGTAAAACTAATAATATTAATAAAATCTCGTGGCAATACACAAGGCTGCAATTGGTAGCATACATTTTAAATTTTTAATTCAATTAAACGATAAAGACGATGCATTAATAGACAGCAAAATTTGGTATTATCTTTTGCCTAAAAAGAGAACACAAATATTCGGAGAATATTTTAACGATTATACATGGAAATAATATATGTTAAATATCGATTAAAATTACTTTAAAAAATATCGATTTATATTTCTGACGACCAGTTGTTTCAAATAACAAGTTTTCAGGTATTAATAAATAATATAAAATAATTGATCGCATTTAAAAAAAATATTTAGTTGCACATTTAGTTTTGAAATATACATGTAATTAATAAATACATTCAGTTTTGTGATTGCCTAAATTTAGCTTTGAACAGTGTTTGCATGTATTAAGCTTTGAATTGCATATATTTAGTTGCATATATAAAGTTTTGAAATAAAATTATATCTTGCTTTTTGAAATAGGATTAATCCTGATTGGGAAGAAATGAACTTTTAGTTTAAAAAATTGTTTTATTTCGAAAGTTGCTTTTAATTTAAAAAAATTGTAAATTAAAACGCGCCTTAAAATGCAAATAAAAAAAATTTACAATGCGGTTTTCAATAGGAAATTATTGCAGGAAATATTTCCGAAGCTAGTAAATAAAAGTATTATTTATTGAACAAAAGATTTTTTTCTAAGTGAGTACTCATTTAAATATAATGAGTAATTCAATTATGGTCTCATTTTCATTCGACAAACGAACATAGTGCTTTTGCTCTTTTTTTCTTAAATGGAATCTCTGTTGATTCAGTTTTAGCTTGTTTATGAATAACGTTTTAGAATGTTCAGTATTGTTTATATTTCTCAACACATCAGCACTATATTCAAAATTCAAAGCATTTTTAAAACTAAAATTTTGCACACTTTTGTTCAGAAACCATGCACATGTAATAGAAACGTAACAGAGAAATACGGTACTTCCTCTAAATGGACAAGCATTTTGCTGCAGTATATACATATACATATTTATGTGCGAGTGATATAATAATCACAATTTGCATTTCCTAATTAAGAAACGCTGAAAAGGGATTTGGCACTTCCTGTTCTGTTAATGTTTAGTTCCATTTCAGAGTAACTTACATTCAAGTTTCACATCAACAGCCAATTTCTGTTAGAAATTGTAATCTTTATCAATCGACGACTTTCCTAAAAACTGGTATCACAAAATTTAATAGCGCTGGAATGTAGGATTTGCTACTCCACTATTCTTGGTTTCGACTTTCCTGGAATGTTGCTTCGGATTTAGTTGTTCTTTGGAATCTGTAGCTGCAATGCGCAGTGTTTTGCCAGAAATGCTGCTGATATTGAAAGTTTTGAGGTCGGAATGAACAGGCACGGAGTCTACCGAAGGATCACGAGAACTGTCCAAGTGCAGAGCTGAAGAATCCTCAAGAGGTACAATACTCGTATCAAAAGGTTGAACAACTCCTTGCTCAACGGTAGGAGTCGTGCTAGCAATAGAACCAGCAGAAGTGGTTGAATAAATATCAGCAGTAACAGAACCTCTATAATAATCGACATACAAAGATGTGGGGCGAGGTATTGGCGTCAAAGTATAATCTTCAGGTCTGAGTCTCACATGAGTACCTTTAGGGGCATTAAACCTTTTCTGTGGCTTACGCAAGCAGCAACATTTAATGCAGCATACTGAAATACAAATGACCAAAACAAGACCAAAAGACACACCAACGGCAATATAGGCAACAGATTCATGCCTAGCGACAGCAGCGATGACGCTGGACGAAGAATTGGACGACTTGGATTTCTCAAATTTCAGATCTACTTTTTCCAGTTTCACAATCCTGAAGGTTCTGTTAAGGACATCAACTGTAAAATTATTTTTCTTGTCAATATTTGGTAAGAAGCGGAGTGTTGGTGTTGAACCTCCTACTGTAACATTGATATTTAGGTGGGAATAACATTTTGCATTCGAGACCTCAGGAACAACATTTCCAAAACCAAACTTTACCATTAATTTACTTAACATTTTTTCAAAATCACTTTTAGAGAACTTCGAACAGTCTTCCGCCCTCAAAACAAGCATCAAGAGCTTCTTATGTTCTTGCTCTGTAGGCACAGCTGAAAATTCTGACTTCGCGGATTCGTTGTCGAAAGGACTGTTTGTCAAAAGTTGTGGAAATAAAGAGTTAAAAGCAAATTTTGGGTGGAATGTTTCGCGAGGAATCTTGAGAACACTGGTGGGAGCAACGAATAAAGACATTAGTGGAGTGTGAAAATGGCTGTAAGTGGTGGTCTCCGCGATTAGAGGTGAAGCCTTAAGGTTTGAGGAAGACATCAAAGAACTGTTAGGCGAAATTTTTTCTGTAAAGAAAACAAGATTTTCTTCAGTAACTAGAAGCGGGGTAGGTGTAATATACTCCTCATAAAATTTAGAAGGTAATGTATTTTCAGATAAAATACTACTCTTTTTGAAAGTTAATGTTTCACCTGACAATGTATACAAATCATTATGATTTTCTGGCAGTGACTGTAATGGAATGTTTTCAGGAGAGCTAGTTAAAATATCATGTGGAAGTGTTGAATGGGGAATGTGTGAAAAATGAGTTTGAGTAGCTTCAATTCCTGGCATGGAATCTGTAGGTAATATATTTTCTCTAATTTCTGTTTCTAAGACTGATGTCGGTATAAAAATAGTATCTTTTGGTATAAAACTTGATCTTGATTCATATTGCTTGTCATCTTCTTCCCACGTAGAACTCGATTGAAGAATGGTGATCTTTGCACCTGAAGAAGAGAAAAGACATTTAATATGAAATATAAATGCCAAAATTCTACGGGAAATTACATAAAAGTAGAAATGATGTAAAAAATATACAAAATTATAGCTAAAAAGGAGTGCTATTATACTCATTGGATCATCCCATAAATAATGAGGTTTGTTATTCTTGTTTTATTTTCTAAAATTAAGATAAACAAGTTCATTTTAATGTAAACTATAATATTATGCATCCTGTACTAGTTCTCGACATCGTTTTATTTCATCAGGGTCTCCAGAACAGGTTGTTCTCTTCGAGGTTTAATTATCTTCCAGGCAAAGCCTCCTCTTCTAAGCTGTAGTTTCCGCCTCAGAATTTCTGAAACCATCGTTGACGCTGATTTACGCTTATTGTGTGATTCTTATGTACAATAATAATTCTCCTGTTAATAATTTTTTTAAGTTGAATTCTTAAAGAAAAATACACTAAGCGTGTTCCTTTGTCATTTCCGCTTAGCTTTAATAAGTTAAACTTCAACTTCTCTCTTCAAAACTTGCTTTACGAATAGAAACAAAATAAAATTACTATCTGCTTTTATAGCAGGTTTAGGCAGGTAATTTATGCCGTTCCCCAGCGCCCTCAATTGAAAAAAAAGCATTAGTTATGGGGATGATCCAATAAATAACCGTTTAAATTAAGAATCAGAAATACTCGTACATTGAGAGTAGTAAAAATTCTACATGTCCTTTCCTTTTACTTACTGGCGTTATTTGCATTTTTGAATATTTTGTAAATTCTGGGATAAATACAGAATCACACTAATAAAAAGGAAAATAAAATAAATTATTCAGTATATTTAAAGCACTCATTTTTTCTCCCGATGGTAAAATTTTATTCTGTGATGCAAAGGAAAGTCTTCCTTCGTTAACGGAAATAGAGACAATGAAGATTATGAAATATCATTCATTTACTAAAGTAACTAAAAGTAACTAAGTAAAGTCCAGTCATTTACTAAAGTAACTGCTACAGTTCAATTATTAGAATATTCACTTCTTAAGCTGTATCATCAAGAACGAAATTCAGCATAATTACTACATTAAAGTGTCAACACTTTTTATATCAATATCAAATATATTTTACTGTTGTAACCAATTCTTTAATATAAACTATTGGAATAACTGTTCATATTAGCAGCAACGAAGGATTCTTTTGGTGAGTAGCCAGAGGGCAACCTCGTTGCTACAGTTAGTCCAACAGTTTATATTATCAGCAGAGTTTATATTAAAGGATTGGTTACTAAAGGTGTGGGGACTCAGAGCCCCGCAGGATCCGCTCTGAGGACAGTGTCAGGCGGGGAATTTGACTGAGCGGTATAGTATCTGTTGAAAGGTAACGTAGGTGTCCTAAGGCGAGCTCAACGAGGACACAAACCTCGCATAGAGTAAAAGGGCAAAAGCTGCCTTCGAGGCCTGTCGACCCTTTTCATTTTACGAGTTTTATGCAAGAGTTGTCAGAAACATTACACACGAATATTATATATAATTTAAAGAAAATTACAGAGCGAAAATCTGATACAACCTATCAGGTTCATCACTTGGCTTTTACTGAAGTATTTCTCTGGCTACTCACCAGAGGGCACCCTCGTTGCTACAGTTAGTCCAACAGTTTATATTAGCAGCAGAGTTTATTTTAAAGGATTGGTTACACTGTCAATTTTATTCTAAAGTGCATGGAAACCCTATTAAGGAAAGCTGCTCAGAGCAGCGCTCCCCAAATTGTGTTCCAAGACGCACTGGTGTTCCGTAAATAATCATAAAAGTGTTCAGCGAAAAATTATGAAACTCAGTTTAGAAAGTAACGAAACATTGTTTACTTTTACGTATTTAACAGAATTAAAAACATTATTATAAGAAATGTAAAGAGATAACACAAACAAAATTGTTTAAATCATGCCAAAAATGAATTTAGTAACACAGCCTGATACCAGATGGCTTACGTTGGAAACGATTTATGTGCAGAATGCATTTCTTGCAATTTTTCTGATTAGTGCTCTGAAGTGTTTTTAGTGGCGCTTTATTGTTTTAAAGTTACTAGATTCTATGGATTTATTACGTTTCATTTACTTAGTTTTTATGCATCATTTTACGCAACATTAAAAATGAAAAATGTCTGAAATTTGAAACCAAATCTAAACACGAGAGAAAGAGCTACAATGCGCGATATTCATTCTAACTCGCACATTATCATTTCAAAGGCCGAGAAAGGTGGCCAGATAGTCGTCATGGACAAGAACACTTACATCAATGGTGTCACTAAACTCTTAAACGAAGGACCATATAATCCGGTAGCTAAAGACTTCACCTTCGACCTCTCAAAAATAAAAACTGCTATCAAATCTTCTCAAATCCTTTCGACCAAATTAAAATAGTCGCTTATCCCATCTGCAGCGAATTGTGCTAGATTGTACGCTCTTCCCAAAATTCATAAAAGTGGTATTTCTTTCCGCCCTAGTCTATCAAATTTAGGCACTGCCTCGTACCCGTTAGATAAGTATTTAGTTTCTAAAATTTCAACTCTATTAGATAATAACATTTACACCATAAAAAATTCAATAGCTATTGTAAAAAAGTTAAAAGCATTTCTCTTAGAAATTTATTCATGGTTTATTTTGATGTAAAATCATTGTTCGCCAAACTTCCAGTGCAGGATGCATATTAAGATGTCTAGAAACCAGACTTTGTGAATTTCATTTCTTCCACTCTGTTTAAAACAAATCTATTTTGTTTTCCGAAATAAGTATTACAAGCAAACTGAGGGATTAGCCATGGGAAGCCCCCTCAGTCCTATCCTAGCTGATATCTACATGCATTATTATGAATCAAAATTATCTGAAACACTAAACTTCCCGGTATGGTTCACGTAGACAATACTTTTACCCTGTTTGTCGGTAATAAAGATGATCTAAGTAAAGTTCTTTCAACAATGAATTCCATTGATCCTGCTATTCAGTTCACTTTTCAACTTGAGACAAGATTTCTCTTCCGTTCCTCGACATTTTGGTCACACGTAACACATCCAACTTCAATATTATGGTTTACCGTAAACCTTCAAATCATATCATTCGACATAAAAAAATTGGCTTCATTTTATTGTTTACTTTGTTTTCATTGCACTTTGAGTTTGCTCCTCCAAACTGGCTCTTGATCAAGAATTTAATTATTTAAAAGCAGTAGCTATTGGCAGGGGCTTTTCAGCCAACATTATTAATCAAGCTTTTCAGCCAACATTATTATCTTTTGGTATGTTAATTTTTTAACTCAACACACCAAAAGGCACACTTTTGTTTTAGGGGATTATAAAAATTCCTTTCTTTCCTGTGATGGAAAGATTGAATTGATTGAAAGAAAGGAATTCCTTCATTCCTTTCTTTCCATCAATTAACTATAAAATTGCACTTATTTTACAGAAAGTTAACTTTCGGGTCGTCTATTCTCCTGTCAATAAAATTCCGAGTTCACCTCAAGGACCACATTCCGAATATGAATTCCTGAGGTATTTACAGAATTCCTTGCCAGTGTGGTTTAATTTACATTGGTCAAACTTAGAGAACCTTAAAATTTCGCGTTAAGGAACATGAGACATATCTTCGGAAAAAGAAAACACAGAAGTCTTCTGTTGCGCATCATTGTTGGTCCGAAAATCACACTTTCAATTTTTCCGCAGCCAAAATTATTCAAAAAACATTTATATCGGTGAATTAGATTTTCTAAAGGCATTTCACATTCAAAAAATCTTTCTGTTCTAGTTAACGATCCTGATTCAAATTCATCTTTGCCTTCAGCCTTTAAGGAAATTATGTTTTAGTTTTCGTTTCTTCAACAGCTGGTACCAGTGGCTTAACTCCTGTTCAGTCTTTCTTATCTTATTTTATCTAATTACTATAACTTATCTCGTTCATTTGCGCTTTTGCAGCTGAGGATGATGGTTCGGTAAAACCATCTAAACTGCCCCTGTGGAAATTTGCAAATATAACGCTGATTTTTGTTGTTTTACTTACTAAATTAATACTGTAATAAATTAATACTTACTAAATTAATACTGTAATACATTCATTTACTTACTAAATTAATACTTACTAAATTAATACTGTAATACATTCATTTATTCTCATGTTTTGTGTATACTTGATGAACAGAAAACTACAAACTTTTGAGTAGTTTTTCCTTGATGAACATGCTGATTTAGACGTAATTAAAGGATTCTCTTAGGACATAACAGATTAGAAGAAAGTAAATTATAAAAGATGGAAACAACAAATAACAGTTTAAATTAATAAAACTGCCATTGGTTTCCGAATTAGTTCTAGATTGTCAATAATATTGAAGGATTTCGTCCTACGTAATTCAGATTGAAAGGAAGAAATATTGTTAAATATAAAATACAGAAATCTCGAAACGTGAATTCTCTTATACTTTGTGAGCAAATCATTTCAGCATTGAATTTAAAAAACAAATATTTTAAATTTAATTAATTTGTCTTTACTCAAAATAAATTTTAAAAATAAGCTACCTGACTCCTTTTAAAATAAAAATGTTTTCTCTTGTTTAAATTTAATGGAGAAAGGATCTTAGAATCTTTCAGCGTGAATATTGTATATCTGAGATCATTCATTATGTTACAACTTTAATAAAAAAACTTGTTGTGAGTGCAGAATGTATACATCTCTGTTTTATAGCTATCTTGACATGTATAAAAGTGCACTGTACAAAAGCAACTAATATAATTTCACTTGTCATTCTCAGAATTATTTTCTTAGTTGGTGTATTCCTATTTATTAGGAGCTTATTACATAACGCCGTTGGAAACTCTACAACTTGAAAAATTATTGTGTATGATATACGCTAGGCACGATTTTAGATTTTAAAGCTAAAAATGGGACAAAATTGCTTGTTAACCCTTGGAATCAAAACGATTCATTTATTAATATACATTGGGCAAAGGTATATGTAGGTGGCATTTCAAATGAAA